TATATATAAATAACTTACCTCAGCTTGTCGTCGCTCAGACTCTCGATGCTCAGGGGTTTGTATCTCTCTGCCAGAATCTTCTTCTTCTTCTCTTTTTCAGTCTGCTTCTTGCCTCTCTTCTGGTCGATCTGTCACAGCCAAACCCGTTAAAATGTCGTCCTCTTTAAGCTGAGACACAGACCTGGAGTCCCTCAGAGCAAACGCACCCTCTGCAGGTGGCTGCTGAAGCCGGACCCCATGCTGGTCAGCGCGATCTTCTTCTTGGCGTCATCGTCGAACTTCCTCTGGGCGTCCGCCTCCTCCTTCCTGATCCTCTCCGCCTGGAAGTAAAACAACACCACATTAAGTATTTATTTTCCTTCTTTTAACCCACAAGAGCCCAGACCCTAAAGAGAAATTAGAGGGAATACAAAACTGACCAAATGAACCCCATTTATCACATTTAAAAAAGTGATAAAGTGAAAAATAAGTGAAAAAATATCAGGCACCACCACATTTGTCAAATATCTGTTTCCATTGGCCATTTTTAATACGTTAATTTAGTTTAAATGGGTTGTTACACGTAGGTTCTAATGGGCTAAAGCTATTTCTCTGAATAGGATTCAGGATAATTCAATATCCTAGACATTTCTGTGTTTGAAACCAGAGACAAAAAGGTTGTTTTAGCTTTAATCTCGCATTAAAAATCTTTAAAAAGTGTTACTACATGTGCAAAGAACTATATCCATATGTGTCACTGAGGAGTGCCCCCCCAGGAGGATAAAACATGGCCGCCCACCTCTCTGCGGGCCTGCCTCTCCTTGTCCTTCTCGGCTCTGATTCGTTGCTGCTCGGCCCGCTCGGCGCGACGCTTCTCCTGGAAAACGCAGAACCATCAGCCACCGGCCTAAAGAGGCCCCCCCCCCCGGCCCAAAAGGCCCCCCCCCCCCCCTCCTGGACGGACGCAGCCTCACGATTCTCTCCTTGAGGGCGATGAGCTCCTCCTCCTCCTTCTTCCTGCACTCGAAGTGCGCGTCGATCAGGGACTGCAGCTCGTACAGGTCTTTGTTCTGACGCTTCTTCTGGATGTCCTGAGGGGGGGGCAGAGCAGGGAGCCTTCACTGACCCGAACAAACAACAAACAAACAAACAAACAAACAAACAAACAAACGTACAAACAAACAACAAACAAACAAACAAACAAACAAACAAACGTACAAACAAACAAACAAACTAACTAACTAACTAACTAACTAACTAACTAACATAAAAACAACAACACAAACAACAACAAAAAAACAAACAAACAAACAAACAAACGTACAAACAACAAAATAACAAACAGACAGACAAACAAACAAACAAACAAATAAACTAACTAACTAACTAACTAACTAACTAACTAACTAACTAACATAAAAACAACTACAAAAACAACAAACAAACAAACTTACAAACAACAAACTAACAAACAGACAGACAGACAAACAAACAAACAACAACCAAACAAACACAAAACAAACACGAACAAAAAAACAAACATCAAACTAACAAACAAAAACACAAACAAATGACAAACAAACAAATAACAAACACAAATAAACATACATACAAACAAACAAACAAACAAACAAACAAAAACAGAGCTGGTCCCTGAACCCAAAATTAAAAGCAGGCAAAACCAAAATGAGCCAAACCCTGATCTGGGACTTAAATCAGATTTAACATGGAATAATGATTTACTCTTTCTGAGTTGTTGGATGTTGGATAACCATAACTGAGTGTCATTGTGCAAAAATCCATCACACATTCAGGGAATGATGTGACTTTCTGCTGATTTCACTTATGTAAGAACAATTATGATTATACAAATAGATTTAAAGAATTTGGAGTTTATTCTCATTCTCATTTAATTAATCAAATTGTATTGCAGTCACAAAATTGCTGAATTTATTTTGCTTTAATCCAAAGCAAATTTGTTGAAAAAAGGTTCTGTTAAGATGTCAATAGAGAAAAAAACGTCTTGTCTTACATCAAAGTCCACTTTCTCTCCATCAGGCATCTTAGGAGCACTGGGTCTGTTGAGAGAACATGAAGAAAACCAAAGTGATCTAAGAGGGAGAAATATTAAGGCGTCCCATGGAAATGATGGATTGGAGATCAAGATACTCACTTGAACTTTGGCTTCTCCTCTGAATCGCCCCAAAACAACCACAATTGAAGAGGAGAAAAGAGTGAACATTAGAAAATGGAAGTGGAGGCGGCGTGAGGAGTTTGTGGTTAATCAGGGAGAGGATCCGTGGGTTACTTCTGAGGGCTGCATGTCGCTTCACACCTCCAGACGTTCATTATGATGTGACAATGAGTTCTAATTTTAGCCTTTTTCCACCAACCGTGACCTGATTACTGTGCATTAGCCTCCACTTTAAGCAGTTAAACACACAGAAATACTGGTTGAGGTCAGAGGGATGAGAATAAAATCCAGTAAGGCACATAAAACAACACTTTGACATTTTGTGAAAGTTTTTTAAAGCAACTTTTGCTAAATTACAGTTAGCATAAAGCTCAGTAGCTAGGCTACTAAGTTAAGCTAAAGCAAAAACGTTTTTTTTTTTAAAGAAACAACAGCCTCAGTTCTTTCCAAACCTAAATGTAAAAAAATTCAAATAAAATAAACAAGTATCTGCTTTAAAGTGAGACATATCTCAGACCTTTTGGAGTTTAATTAAGAAAAAAAAAAACCCTTCCTCGATGACTTTGAGCGAAGCTAAACTTAGCTAGCATGTTGCTGCAGATGGTTTACATTAACTGGCTGGTAAAAGAAAAGATAAACCTTTTCCTTTTCAGTTAATTTCCCAAAATGTCAAACCAGGACTTGTGTTCATCCTTTTACAATTGTCTAACTCAAACAGTATTATTATGCGATTTCTTTGAGGCAAATGTTCATACACAGGTATAAGGCCATGTCTCCTAATTATTATCATCTTTTTTTACTTGGAAATGTTAATTTACTGTGAATTAGTGTGTAAATCAAACCCATATAGTCTTGTATATCTAAACTGGGTTAAGTACGCTGTCATAAATCACCACATTAAACTATTTACTACTTCATTTTCTGAGTAGTACATCAGTGCACACTTTTCAAAACAGGGGACTTTGGATTTTTAATCACGGTTAATGGTTTTTTGTGATAGACACAGCTGGGATTGTAAAGTGTTTGATTAGCTTTTTATTTCATTGGACGGGCCCCTCACACTAGGATAAAAGAAACAGACAACATGGGGAAGGAAAGAGCAGGCAGAGCAACGGCCTCAGACTCAGCCGGTAATACAAACTACCATCTTGATCTCCTTCCTCCCCTGGCAGGAATCATTCATGCAAAAAAGAGAAGAAGCACAGGTGAGCTGTGAGACGTAGCCTTCAGAAAAGCCTCCTCCACATCGCCTCTCTAACCAGAGACTGAAGCCGGACCAGTAATTATTCCCCTTGCCTTACGGAGAATAATTCCCCTTTTTGGATAGGGAAGCAGATCAGATGCTGAAAGTCCAATGGGAAGAAGGGAGAAGAATTCAAATGCACGTACCTTCCTCTTCATAGGCCTCTGCATGCAGCAAGCGTCGGAAGCAAGAGCAGAACAGAGACCATTAGTGAGCGAGCAGAGCAGCCCGCTCTCCAGATGCACAGCTTAGGAGCACATTTAGGCTTTGGGGTGTTCCTACCGGCGGCCACTGCAAAAGTCCCGAGTCATGGCATGCAAATAGTCCCGCCTCAGCACTATGGCAGCAGTTTGCATCGTTATTCCTAAAGTTTTATCACATTCAGGGAGAATTTCACACCGATCTTGGGTAATTAAAACCACTTTTAACCCTGTAATGCCAAATGTGTCATATTTGATACATACGGTTTCTGAAATGTTTTGCGTCTGACTCCTTTTGCATAATTTAATGGTAAAAACTTTGCTCAAAATCTTATTGTACACAATCAGATACACCTGATAACAGGGGGCAGAAGACTACACAAAAAATAATCTGGATTTATCGCATAGTAATAAATTATTGATATTAAAATTGTATTTTTCTTTTTTCTTTTTACATATTGTGTTAAAAGGCCAAATAAAGACCTAAAACAAAAAAGTAATTTTCTGTTTTGTTTTATGCTTGGATCAGGCTTTAAAGACCTTTTAAGACCTTTTCTTGATTTTTGAAATTGTATTTAGGTGCTCAGTGTTCAATTGGTGTTTTATTTTATGACTGAAAGTCTCTTTTAGTTATTTTGCATGGCCTTTTGGATGGCTGGTATGGGTTGTTCTTGTTTAACCCTTTTATTTCTCTTTTTTGTAAACTTTTGGAAAGAATCTTAACAAATATTGTTGGATCTGTGATGCTGCCTCATTTTTTCCCTGTGAAGCGAAGGCGTATTTTAAGTAAAAACGTTCTTCCTAGAGCAAAGACATTGAAGCATTAGTTCGTAAAAGCCGGGGACTTTTGCAGTGACTCCATCTGAAATGCAGACCACACATTTATCTGATCAGAGGAAAACCTTCCCATTAAGAACTTATTCTGTATCGCTGTACATTTTCCATCAAAGCACCCCAACGTAAATGATCTGAAGCCAGTGGCACTCTTCACCTCCACACAGAAACAAATGCTACACATGGACAGAAGAGAGGCAAAGAAAAGGCTTTCACATGACCCCGAATTACCCATCATCCTCTCTGCTGAGGCCTTGAACATGGACATGGGAGTTTGCTCAAATGCAAACAACGATAATGGTCATTAAGAAGAAAATGATCCATTAAAATGAAGGGAAGGCCACGGATAAAACAGGCCAATTCGTTCATGTGAAGGCCGTTCCCCTCCTTTGTCTCCCTTTTTAACATTTATACGCACAGCTGAAAATCCAATGAGGAGAAAATGTCTTGTTTTGTGAGAGCTTTGCGGCTAACACTGACGGTGCTGTTATGAGTGTGCTGTGGGCATCTCTGTGAAGCAAAAGCTGGATGTGGGGCGGTCCAGTGGAGAATGGGGGGGGAGTGGTGCCTAAAACTTTGTGAGGTTGAATAATTTGAATAAAACTCAAAAGTGCAACAGCTTGGACTGGTGAATGTGAGAAGCAAACATGGCGACATGCTGAGCAGATAATGAGAAATCTGGCAGATTCTGGCGTTTTCCACATTTACGCAGAGTTTTGTTCAACAAAACAAACCCAGGACAGCAGAGGCTGAAACAACAAGCACCTTTAGGCTCAGAGCCTCTGAAATGCTCTCAGGTGTCTGCGTGGGAAAATGTGTGCAATGCTGTTATTCCTTTATCTAATAATCTGATCGGTTGAATTCTTCTTAAAGCTGTGAAATTATGATCTAGACTAATGGAAAGCAGAGAATATTAAAGGGGCTAAAGACAAGAGATTATAAGCTAGAATTTCCATCTTGATTTTATTTTAAATGTGTGCGTTTTTGATCTTTTGTGTCTTCTTTTGGAGTTTTTAAGCCCTTTATTACCAGTGTCTCATCACAGTGGGCAAATTAATATCTATTAACTGATTAAAGGTAATGAATAAATGTAAAAACTAACATTTGTCCTGCACGATAATAATGTTCTGACTTTAAATTGGAAGATAAAAAATGCTGAAATCAAAAGGCTTTTTATGGGGTTAAAATACAGGATTTTTAAACAGTTTTAAAGACTCATTGTGTTTGAATGGGCAGCTCTGGAGAGGAGGTGATTCCAGTGGAGAGGCCTAAACAGACTCTAAAGTCAAAATAACCCAACTGCAAACATGTCGAACCCAAACAGGTTCTTGATTCTCGAGTCTTAAAGGGAACTTTTTGTGTTTGATTTACCTTTTTGCAACAACTAAAGAAGCTTTTGTGGTTTTTACTTATCCACCTGTAAAATGGATTAGAGAGAGCTGGAACAAATAAAATCCATCCATTGGAGTACATTCTGGACAGGTCGCTTTTAAAATTAAATTCCTTTGTGGCAAATAGCACTAGATCTTTTTAAAAATGATTCAAAATCATCGTCAAATCGGAAATAAAAGTAACTTTAAATCATGTTTAAATCTCCAGAAGAAGCAAAGTCACCAGGCAAAAGGCGGTGGATAGATCAGGTTTTTTTTTTACTGGTGTGAGAACCGGGCTTTGTGCTCTTTAAGACTGGACACTGGACATGTTTGTGCGGCCGGAGCTGTGGGCGTGCCGGCCGCCCTGCAGCAGAAAGGTGAGGGGGCTGCCCGTGCCACGTACCTTCCTCCTCCTGCCGCACCACCTCTGCTTCGGGTTCTGGCTCAGGCTCTACCTCTGGCTCTGCTTCCACCTGGGCCTCCGCCTCAGGGGCTACTTCTACTTCTACTACCTCCTCCTGGGCTACAGGCACGCAGCATGCAGCACACCGCAGGGCCGAGGGCGCCGAGGAGGGCCGTTAATGGAGACCACAGACATGACAGAGCCATTAGAAACCAAAAGAGAGAGAGAGTTTGCTTTTGTTACAGAGAGGACGGATGGGTGAGCGGAGGGAGGGCTGCTGGAGAACAGAGAGAGAAACAGATGATGGTGACGATGGCACAGGGTCATGTGACCTGTGGCACAGAGGCCGTTTTAAACCCTGGATGTACAAAACTACCAGCAAACAGAGCAACCGCTCACCAAAGCATCTTAAAACAGGAGATCTTATCCTTTTTATTACCACTTAGTCTAGGATTAGAATGGCCTTTACTGTAGTTAAAGCACCAGATGTCAAGTCTTTAATCGGTCATGTAGAAAATTAAACAAATGTAGTTTTTTTGCTATGACTTCTATTGATTTCTGAGCTCAGAACTTAATAATTGTTGTATACACTGTGATTACTAAGGGTTTAAGTTGTGCTACTATACATATATTTGGTGCTGAGTCATCATATTGAGCAATTTCTATGGTTTTAAGTTACAATCGATTTCCACTAACTGCAGCAAAAGAGACTCAGTTTCACTTAAATACAGCAGAAAACGTAGTTCACGTCTTTCAATCTAGCAGATTTCAAGCTTCATTAGGTCTTCCAAACACATTATTCAAATGTTAGTGTTATATATTGGGAAATATTAGGGACGGAACTATAGTCAAATTGGGGGTTGCCCCTCCGGGGGCCGGTTACAGTGTGGGACGTTCCAGTTGGAAACGGTTGTATTTTGCCGGATGATTTTCCTGAAGTAAAAGAATGACAACTAAAGTCCCCTGCCTCCGTGTGGATTGAATGGATCGATTCTTGGACACTCGGTTACTACATTGGCGACGAGGATTAAAACTGTGAAGCGGACTTCCAATTTAAATCGGAGTAACGCACTTTAAAGTCGTAACCATGGCAACCGTTGGGACGCTCAGTGAGTACGTGGAGACTGACGGGGATTGGGTGGAATATGTCGAGAGATTGCAGCACTTTTTCGTGGCAAATGACATTAATGACCAGTCAAAACAACTGTCAGTTCTTCTCAGTGTATGTGGAGCCAAGACTTACAAACTGATCCGTAACCTAGCGTCACCACGGAAACCGGGAGATTTAAGCTTCCAGGACATAGTTAAACTGGTGCAAGATCACCATAACCCCAAGCCATCAGTGATTGTGCAGCGTTTCAAGTTCCACACACATTCTCGCAAGCAGGGAGTGTCAGTGCCTGCATTTGTGGCGGAACTCAGAGCATTATCAGAGCACTGTGAGTTTGGAGATGTCCTAAATGACATGTTGCGCGACAGATTAGTATGTGGAATTAATGACGACAGTATTCAACGGCGGTTGTTGAGTGAAGCGACGCTCACTTACAAAAGAGCACTGGAGATCGCCCAGGCAATGGAAACCGCGGCAAATAACATAAAAGATATTCAACAAGCAAGTGGAGGAGGGACGCAATCGGACGCGGTGCATCACGTGACCAAAGACAAGACGGGTAAGCACCAAAAGTCCGTGGAGTGCTACCGTTGTGGGGGACCACACTTTGCAATTGACTGTGGTTTCAAAGACTCTCTGTGTCACAACTGTCAGAAGAGGGGTCACATAGCCAAAGTGTGCAGGGGCAAAAACAAACAAAAGAAGGAATGGGGTGGAAAGCCAAGGAAGTCTGCTCATCACCTGCAGGAGGAGGAGGAGGAGCCTCAGGAAGGGGAAGAGTCTTCTTATAACATGCTCAATCTCCATGCCATCAGCCAGCCCAAGGCAGAGCCCATCTATGCTACACTGAAGGTGAATGGTGCTGATCTGAAAATGGAAGTGGACACTGGGGCTTCTGTGTCTGTGCTGAGTGAAAACGCATATCACCGACTTTGGAAAGCAACAAAAGCACCTGCTATAAAAAAGTCAGACATAAAACTGAGAACATACACGGGTGAGTGCATTCCCATAATTGGGTCAATTGAGGTTGACATTGATTATGAAGGACAGAAGGCGGCAGCAAAGCTGTTAGTGGTCCAGGGGGAGGGGCCTAGTCTGATGGGTCGCGATATCCTGCAGAAAATCCGCTTACAGTGGGGGAACATCTGGGGAGAAGTGAAGCACATGACAGCAGTGCAAGACATCATTGCCAAGTATTCAGATGTTTTCAAGGAGGAGCTGGGCACCCTCCGTGGCACCACAGTGAAAT